ATTAATACAGTGATTTTCAACCAATGTGCCATGAGAGGATTGTAGGGGTGCAACAAAAATTTTTGAAGATTGTTAAATAATTTTCAAAAGAAGTCCAAAAAACAATAAGAGTACCTGTCAAAATTAAAACCTCATTAAATTGATTATATGAGTGCTTCATTGTTATGATAAATAAACATATACATATTGTGGTAAAAAGTATATATTCATAAGCAAAATTATATGTGCATAACACTGGGTTATTTCATTTAAAATTAAATTTTATTTAAATCAAAAATATATGTATTATATAATTGTTCATATCCAGTTCAAATTATTTTAACTTAGAAATATCAGAACATTGGGCAGGTTTCTAAAGGCAATTATCATGCCATTTTTAAACACAAATTAAGACTTAATGTTAATTGCTTTTCTTAGATTAGATATCTCATTAAATGTTCAATTATAATAAACCGAAAAATAAATAAGACTTTTTAAGAATTTCAATTATTATCTATTTATTAAAAATTATAGTAAACTGCTTTGTGTTAATAAATAAATTATGAAAAATACAATCTTTCTTTTTACTATTTTTTTTAAATCATTATAATTTAAATGTGCTGCAGAAATTTAACTATAGGTTCAAGTGTGCCATGAGATAAAAATGGTTGAAAATACACTGGATTAATAGAATTCATATGCATTCTCTAGTTTTACATTAAAAATTCCAAATTTAAGTTTGTTTGCAGACCATCATCTATTATATCTTCCAGTTTGTGAAAAGTTTTTAAGATAGTTTATAATATATGAAAAAAAAAGACATTACTGCCCAGTATTTTTGAAACATCCTGTATTTGAACAATACAAAGAGTTATCGATAACTCTTTTATCATTCAAATATTCTAACATTGTTTATTTTCCTGTCCTCTTTCTGTCTTTCCACAGATCCTTCTAATAATTATTACTATTCCATCTTATAAATAAATCTTATAAATCTAAAGAGATTTCGATATAATATAACATATAGGTCCTCCAGGTTGGGGGTTATGCGTGGGGCTAACAGCCCCACCATATAAAAAAATAGAATGGTTATGAAACAGTCACAAGAAAACAACCGGGCAGCCTTTAAAGGGAATCGACAATGGAACTGGAAAAACAGACTGAACATAGGAACTTGGAATGTGAAAGCCTTTATGGAGCAGAAACACTTAAGGAGGTAATAGGAGAACTACAGAGATATAAGATGGATATCACAGCCATCCAAGAAACATGGTGGGTGGGGGATGACATAATCACATCAGAAAACATGATGATCCTATATGGAGGAAGTACTAGACATGAACTAGGTACTGGTTTCATCATAGCTAAGCATAAATGGGACTCGATCTTTACATTTGAATGCATTTCTGCGAGGACTTCCAAGCTCAGAATGAGAAGCCGATGGTTCAATATCACACTGGTCAATGCCCACACTCCCACAGAAGTCAGCAATGGAAGAAACAAAGATGAATTCTTTGAGGAGCTGGAGAATACAATGGCAGTTCCAATGCATGACATAGAGATGCTTCTTGGGAACCTTAATGGTAAAATAGGCAAAGAGCAGTGCTTCCAACCTACCATAGGAAAGGAGAGCCTGCATGAGACAACCAATGATAATGGAGAGTGACTTATCAACTTAGCCAGTGCTAGAGATCTGATAATCCATAGAACTAATTTCCCTAGAAAAAATATTCACAAACATGGATATCCCTAGATGACAAAACTAAAAACCAAATAGATCATATACTCATTAACCAGAGTTATCGTAATAGCATAAAAAACATACGTCATCTCAGAGGAGCAGAAGCAGGAACAGATCACTTCTTGCTGAGAGCCAGCATGAAAGTGAAACTCTAGTTAACAACAAAGGACAAGCAAAACCATCATTTTTCATACGATGTACATAAACTCAAAGCTAATGACACCAGGTGACAATACCAGGAAAAAATAGGAATGGCTCTAGAATTGAATACGATGAATGAGATGAAAATGGACCAAGCCTGAAAAGCAATGCGCACATCCATATTTCTAAAAATAGCCATAAAAACCTTACCTAGAGAATACAGACCAAGGAAACCATGGTTTAACAGCATATGCGAAGAAGTGGTAAATCAAAAAAGGAAAGTAAGAATGAATTGGCTGGACAACCTAGAAGATCTACACATCAAAAACCAATATGATGAGGCATAAAAACATTCTAAGAAGACTATTATACAGCAGAAAAGGAAATTTCTCATAGATTTGATTGAAGAAGCAGAGAATAATCATAAAAAGTGGAAGGTGAAAGATTTCTTCAGAGACAATAAGACTCTATACAACACATATCGACCAAAACTCCTGGTCATCAAGGATGCATGTGAGAGGCTTTAGCCAATGAACTGGAAGTTTCCAAAAGATGGAAAGAGGTTCTTTAACTTCTATGTAGGTTCTTTAACTTCTGGTTGAACAGTGTATTTTGGGAGGAATGTGGCTGGGGTCATGGGGTCTGGACAGTTCAGAATATCCCCAAAATATTCTGAACTGCCCAGACCCCATGATTCCAGCCACATTCCTCCCAAAATACACTGTTCAACCAGAAGTTAAAGAACCTACTCAGAGTGAAGTTCAGGTCATCATACAGAGTCTACATAATCACAAAGCTGCAGGGACTGACAATATCAAATCCAAGCTCATCAAATATGATGGACAGTAGCTTGCAAAGACAATCCATAATCTGATTCTGCAGATCTGGAGACAGGAAAGAATGCCAATGGAATGGAAGGAAGCAGACATAATCCCCATCCATAAGAAAGGAAATAAAATGGAGTGTAAAAATTATAGGGGGGCCTCCCTACTCCGGGTGACATACAAGATCCCGTCATCTCTAGTTATGAGGAGATTGACTCCATACGTGGAGGGAATTGTGGGTGAATATCAAACTGGTTTCCAAGAAATAAAGCCACAACCAATCAAATCTTCACATTAAGACAGGTTCTTGAGAAAAACTGGGAATACAATGTCGACACACACCTGTTCATTGATTTTCAAAAAGACATATGATGGCATTCACAGTCAATCAGTGTGGAAGGCCATGAAGGAGTTTGAGATACCAGACAAACTCTTCAGAATTGCAGAAATTTGCATGAATGAGGTGTGGTATACAGTAAAAACCAGGGCCATAAGATCGAACAGAACTGAAACAGGAAGATGCCACCTCCTCTTCTATTTAACATTGCTCTAGAAAAAGTTGTCAGAATGACCCAGGAGATAGACAATAAAAGGAAATATGACTCAAGAGACAAACTGTCACTACTAGCATATGCGGATGACATTGTCATAATTGGAGCATTTCAAGGGGAGATGACAAGATTAACACCAAAATTAGCAACAGCTGCCAAGAGTATGGATCTGATCATCAATGAAGAGAAGACTAAATACATGGTTATTTCTAAAAAGAAAGATTCCCACAAAGAACATCTAACCATAGACAATATGACATTCAGCACTACAGAATCCTTCAAGTACTTAGTGACTGACATAAACAGAAACAATGACATCAAGAAGGAGATAGGGACATGCTTACTACAGGAAAACAAAATCTACTTTGGGCTCACAAACATACTAAAAAGTAGACTCCTTAGTAAAAGGATGAAGCTAACTGTATATGAGTCACTATTAGACCTGCAATTCTATATGGATGTGAAACATGGCCAATGACAAAGCAGGAGGAACTACAACTATAGAAATTCAAAAACAAAATACTAAGGAAAATCTTCAGACCTGTGGAAGACTATGATGAAAATGGTATTATGGTCAATGGAGAACCAATATGGAGAAAAAGAACAAACCAGGAACTGAAGACAACCTACGGCAAGCCCATGATTACACAGGTGATTAAAGCCAGAAGATTAGAGTGGCTAGGCCATGTCGTAAGGCTTCCTATAATGGCAACAGCTTCACTATGAGGTGAAAGGGAAAAGGCCAAGAGGCTGTCCCAGAAAAAGGTGGATAGATGGGGTCACTGATCTTCAAGACCTCAGAATCGAAGATTGGCAGAGGCAGGCTATAGACTGAATGAGATGGAGAAAGATTGTGACTGCGGCCAAGAACCTCCAAGGCCCATAATGCCAGACAAAGAAGAAGAAAAAATTCCATCTTTCAAACTCTCAATTCTTGAAAAATCTTGCTTAGTATAGGGATAAATGCAGCATTTATAGCAATAGTTTTTACAACCTGTTAAATAGCAGAGCATTGATGATGATGATGATGATGATAAAACAAATATTTTTCTTTTTTTAATTTCACATTTTCAGTTAAAAATATTACTAAAAATAAGATGTTTTAAGTTTATTGACTATAATATATTTTCTCAAAAAAAATTATATAAGTTTCACAACACTTTTCTTTCTTTTTTCTAGCAATTTCTTTGACGTAGCTAACATTAGTTACATTAAAGAAATTGCTAGAAAAAAAAAAAAAAGGTGTTGTGAAACTTAGTACCCCTAAACCACTAAGCACATACCCCTGGTTGGGAATCGCACTAAATGCTATTCAATTCTGCATTACTACGAACTGCATTGTGATATAGGAAATTCAGTAAAAATTATTAGATAAGAATTAGTTAAAGCAACATTTGTCTTGTCAAACATCTTTGTGAGATAAGCAGGGGGTCAGGGGTTATTCCCTTCTGACCACTTAATCTGCAC